TTCCTGCAGAACGTCGCGAAGATCAGTGAGAGGATCCCTGAGACCGAGGCAGGAGCCGACAATCGACACTACATCAAGGACATGGTTGATCGTGCATGCGAACTGTTTCGGGAAAACAAGCTGGAGGAGTTTGATGCGCAGACCAACGAGATCAGGGACGAGATCAGCAAAGTCGTCATCCTGAATGACGAGACATGGGAAGGGCTACGATGCCGGATATGTCCGTCATGTGCGACCACGATTCCCACATGCTTCTGTGTGTGCCTGGAATGCGGAGCGCAATTGATCTCTACCGGGAGATTTTGCATCCACGTCAGTTCCGATGACGATGGGGACGACCAAAGGCCCAATGTTTCGGGTGATGCCAGACGCGCACAAGAAGAAGCAAACCATGGTGCGGCAGCACAGGAAGAGGATGACGAGGCGGAGAACGTGCCTGAGGACGACGACATGGACGCGCAAGGATACACGTCCGGATACATGTCCGGATACATGTCTGAGGAAGAAGATGGCGGTTGGCAATACCGCGACAATGACTTGGCATCGCGGGATATCATCAATTCCCAGCGGATGGCGATTTGCCTTGATGAGCCGCGCGAAGCTCAATACATGGCGGGATTCATCGCGCTGCAGATGTCTAAGATGTGGGGGATGTTCGAAGGGGGTGAAAAGAGAACGGTTGATGCCGCGCTCGAAGGGAAGCAAGGCTGCCCTTACCACAACGACTTCACGAAGTACCCCAACATAACTGAGCACGATCAGGAAGGGATCCTATTGCCGTCAACAACATTGAAGATTAGCCAATCTCAGAACGTACGGACAAGGACCTTCCGGTCGGCTGAGGAGCGTAATGAATACATTCGTCTAATGGTAAACAAATGCGAGGGGCTATACATATTTTACAAGCTGTGGATTGCAGCGGGAATCCTCGACATCACCAAAGACGAAATGAAGCTCCTGGTCAAGGATCGCGTGCACCCGGTGGGCGATATAGTTTACAGATGCTTCTCCTTGGCTTTCAACTGTAAATATATATCGTTCGTAAGGGGAGGCTTGAACCTTGGCAGACATGGCTATTCGGTCAATGTGAGCGCCATTATTGCAGCCACTGATCCGAACAAATGCGACACACCTCTGCTGGATTGGTGCATCCGAATGGGACATTGGATACCAGAAGATCATCACAAGAAGTGTGTCCGGGCACGAGAAGCCCAAAAGAATTTGGACGAAGAGTTCCGTCGACGTACCCACAGACTGTCCATTGGGGACAGGTATGCGTAATACAGATGTGGATTATTAATGCTCATGCGGTGCGGCGCGCCCACCAACAGCAACACATATATTCACTCCGATGTTGATTGCGGCATGATGTGGGTTAGTCCCCATCTATTGCTTGCGTCTCATCAATGTCATTGCGATGGAACGACTCTACATCATGATATGATTTCATGCGTCCAAGATGAATGGATGTGTATACATTTACATATTCCGACGGCTATGACATTCCGGATATTCATGGATGGAACTATTACCTCATGGATGATTTCCTTTTCATTATATATATTATTCATGGTACCTGGAATGGCTATGTTTTGCATTGATTGCTCACCGATATTTCTTTGCCGGTGATATGCAGATTACTTACGATCATGTGCTGCTGTGGACTTCTATGGCCAACCCATTTCTGTGGATGACGGCTGCGCGATGCGCAAATGCGGCAGCTGGGATGTTCAATGGTTGCGTGATGACATGAGGTAGTGTATACCTTTTATCTGCATATGGGAATGTGCTACGATTTGCGGATGCACCTTTCAGTTTCAATCGAACCCGGCAGGTTTCACAATGAATGGACGGTGTAGCGATAGCGAGTGAAAGAGTGCTCGACACAATTTCGTAGCTGAAGCCGTGGCCAGTGGAACGTTTTGTGGTGTTTGGACCGCATGATGAACAATGCGACCCAAATGGGGGATGTTAAAACCCTCTTGGCCCCGTGCCTAAATTGGGAAGCAGTTCTGAGGTCCGTGTTTGTGTTGCTTACAAGGTTCCATTGATTGCCATTTGGCTCAAGTCCCAAGTGAGGTTCAAGATCTTATGTGAAGCTGCGTTCATACGTGATCGGCAATTGAGAGCGGAAAACACTTCGCTTGCGCTGCATTTGTCAGGACCACTGTTGTAACTATTATTCCTTCTCCCTTACAACATTTACACGGGTTCGGCTATAACGGTTTGACCGTATACACCTTTCTACGTGGTTGGTATTTACAGCTGGAGGGTTCGGTGGACAGCGTCCCACGGGACGTCACCTTGCCGTCTCTTGACACACTCACTCACTCACTCACTCACTCACTCACTCACTCACTCACTCACTCACTCACTCACTCACTCACTCACTCACTCACTCACTCACTCACTCACGTCACTCACACACCTCACTCACTCTCCACTCTCACTCCTCACTCTCACTCGCTCCTCTCACTCTCACTCTCACTCTAACTCTCATCTCTCCGACGACACTCGCACTCGCACGCGCACTCGCAACTCTCGCACTCGCACTTCGCATACTCGCACTCGCAACTCGCACTCGCACTCGCAACACGCACACCCCACTCGCACTCGCTAACTCGCGACTCAATCATCAAATCACTCACTCAGTCCACATCCCCTCCCCTCCCTCCCTTCCCTGCCTCCCTCGCTTCCGCCCGCTCCCTCCCTCACTCACCATCACTCACATACTACACTCACCACCTCACTCATAAAAACCCACCACACATCACTCACTCACATCCTCTCCACTCCACTGCAACCTCCACTCCACTGCAACCTCCACTCCACTCCACTGTAACCTCCACTCCACTCCACTCCAAACTCCACTCCACTCCACTCCACTCCACTCCACTCCACTCCACTCCACTCCACTCCACTCCACTCCACTCCACTCCACTCCACTCCACTCCACTCCACTCCACTCCACTCCACTCCACTCCACTCCACTCCACTCCCCTCCCCTCCGCTCCGCTCCGCTCCGCTCCGCTCCGCTCCGCTCCGCTCCGCTCCGCTCCACTCCACTCCACTCCACTCCACTCCACTCCACTCCACTCCACTCCACTCCACTCCACTCCACTCCACTCCACTCCACTCCACTCCACTCCTCTCCACTCCACTCCACTCCACTCCACTCCACTCCACTCCACTCCACTCCACTCCACTCCACCCCACTCCACTCCACTCCACTCCACTCCACTCCACTCCACTCACCCAACCACCCACACCCACCCACTCACGCCACAACAACACCCACTCACCCACTTCAACCCACCTCACCCACTCCACCCGTCCACCCACAATCACCCACTCGCACTCACTCACTCACTCACTCACTCACTCACTCACTCACTCACTCACTCACTCACTCACTCACTCACTCACTCAACTCACTCACTCACTCACTCACTCACTCACTCACTCACTCACTCACTCACTCACTCACTCACTCACTCACTCACTCACTCACTCACTCACTCACTCACTCACTCACATCACTCACTCACTCACTCACTCACTCTCTCTCCCCCTCACTCACTCACTCACTCAGTCACTCACTCACTCAGTCACTCACTCACTCACTCACTCACTCACTCACTCACTCACTCACTCACTCACTCACTCACTCACTCACTCACTCACTCACTCACTCACTCACTCACTCACTCACTCACTCACTCACTCACTCACTCACTCACTCACTCACTCACTCACTCACTCACTCACTCACTCACTCACTCACTCACTCACTCACTCACTCACTCACTCACTCACTCACTCACTCACTCACTCACTCACTCACTCACTCACGCGCTCACTCTTTCTTTCCTTGCTTTCTTGCTTTCTTGCTTTCTTTCGTTCTTTCTTTCTTTCTTTCTTTCTTTCTTTCTTTCCTTCTTTCTGTATTTTGTTTCTTTTTTTCTGTTTTTCTTTCGTCACCCAGGCACCGTCACGCAACCAAATGGTTTACCGGTGGCATAGTATTGTTTGGGGTGGCTGGTCAATACAGAGTTGCTGGCAACTGTGCCTTTTGTTGGGTGTAGGTGCAATACACATGGGATTCCTTTCAAACCCTCAGAAGCCGCTCTTGCCGTCAAGGGCTGTGACGCGCCGTGCGCGGTTCATACTCAGCTGCCCTTCTAAGCCGAGAGCGTGCGTGTAGGCAGCTCCAACTGAAAAAAAGGTCAACGCTCGCACTCAGGTCTGCGTTCTTATGCAGGCAGTCGCGAAGGGGGCTCGCGCTCCTTAATGTCTCGCTGATTGGCTGGCGCTTGTTCTGCTGTCGCCATGCAGAGCGACAGCTCCCATTCCTCATTTATTTGTCTGTTGAGGTGGTGCTCGGCGATCCGCCAGAAGCCGATGCTGGGCGCATCAGGGAGCGTATGGGCTGCGCAGGAGTCAGGCGTGAAGCTCAACGCCTCTGCGGTGGATTTTTCTCGGACAACTTGCCATCCTCTTCCAAGCAAAAACGCTGTAGTGGAGGAGGACGAACGGGCAAGCTCAACATGAGTCCCGGACACGTTCCAGTCTCTCAGCTCAGCGGCTGCCCCCTAGACGTCCCAGACACGCTCCAGTTTCTCAACCAAAGCGCCGTCCCCTAATCAACAAAAATGTTCGCCGGCTGGGCGGGAACTTGCTCATCCTCACCCAGTCGTCCCCTCGCCTTGGACTAGAGCGACCTGATCGCGTAGATCTTCGCTTCGTTTCTTTCCCTCCCGCAATGCCGAGAAGATTCCTCCTTTTTCTCCTGACGGGCCCGCATCAGGGCGGCTCAGCTGTGACCCAGGGGGAGGCGGGCTACTTCTCCCAAATTGGCACCACTCCATTCCGAGAAAAGTGGCATCTTTCGTAGCAGCCAATGTAAGGCTTTGGGGAGTTATGGAAGTGTTTGAAATTAATTCTGTACACGCGTGTGCTTTGTGCCAGAGCAGGACGCACCAGGCCCTGTCATTTACTGGATGTCCCGGGACCAGCGTTTGCGCCTCAGTGCTTCTTAGGTTTGACTCTTGATGGGTGGTACAATGCTTTGTGAACATGGCCACAGGCTGTGACGACAATTGGGCATTGATTTATGCACAAAAGCTGGGCAGCTCAATGTGAATGTGGCAGACGTGCGTCATCTACGTAATCTATCGTTATGCGCTGCGCGCAAGGCTTGCAATTCAGAGGTCAGTGCCGCTGCATGACGATCCGGCTTGATTGCTTTGCAATGTGTGCTGTGCTGGCGCATCTTTCAGCGAGTTATATGAGCAGAGGCTATGCGCGCGGCTGTGCCACAAGAGGTAGTGTACACTCACCTCAGCTGTTGCGTGTTGCGTTCGCCCGTGCAGTGAAGTTGTTCAGATCATAGTACATTTGGGGCAAGCGACTGGCAAGCGTTGCACCCAAGCCAGGTTGTGTTTTGCCTGGTGCCCAAATTCTTGGATGCCACTATCCGGCAGACGATTCCTTAGCTGAGCTACCTGCCGTTGACAATAACAAGGGATGCAGTGTCAGGCCGGTACAGAACCAAGGTTCGATTTTCTCCTCAAAGGCTTGAAGGAGGACACGGCTGAATGAGTTCCTGCATATGATGTGTCTGCCATGCTCAGGTTGACGAATGCCTGAAATCCAAGAAAATGTCTGAAGCCCAGATTATTTTGTTTTGTATACCAGCTTGTCAACTTCCACTCCTTGATTTGAGACGTGCGAGAAAGCCTGATCGCTTTGCTTTTGCCCTTCAGTCCCTTCCACTTGCGGCTGGGCAAGGCAGCTGCATGTTCTGCTTGGCCTGTGAGGAGTTGCTATCGTGTCACAGTTTGCAAGCAGTACGCGTCAGGCCGTCGATGAGATCCCCGAATTGGTGTCTGGGTTGCTTCCCTGCAACTACGTGGCAGTGGCGAGGTCAATTATGCAAAGTGCTTTGCCCTGATCAGGCTGAAAGCAAAGGCTGTGGTATGTGACATGTCCCCTTTGCGCGTCCTTGCCTCACCTTGCAATTACGCAGCTCTAGCGTTGCGTGGCTTGTTGCTGATGCCGCTGTCCTTTTTTGCCCGACATTTGGTGCTTTGTTCTCGGCACATGGCCAAGGTGCCACGCCAATGGGCTCGAGATGTTGCCGAAGCTTGCCAGGCCAAAGAGGTGCCGGGACTGTGGGCATGCGGGCCTTGTTTTGCATTTGACCGCCCTCTGGGCAGAATCCGGAGGTATGCAGGCATATCCCCTACCGTCAAGTGGCTCAAGTGAGCGCCAAAACAAAGCAATTGGAGGTCGGTAGGGCAAGGGACATTCCGAACCATGAAAAAGAAGCAGCAGTCTGTAATTGTTGTTGTTTTGGATCACACTTTGCATACTGGCTCAGCGAGGCCGAGAGATGTCTCAGTAGTGGAACTCATGCCAACCAAGCTGCATGTTTGTGACGAGCAAAACATCGGAGCGGAAAGCATTCCAGATCTGGCATGAGCAAAGAAGACGAGTGTGATTACAGACTTCTAAATCGACGATGGCCAGCGGGCGTGAACAGACACCCCCTCCAGTTCAGTTTACCAGACGCCAGGCCGCAAATAATCCAGTCTGAAGATTGGCATGGTTTCCTTAGAGCCAAGTTGTCATCTCCCGACTCAAGGTGATGCTGTTGCAATCAGTTTCAAGATGAGGGGGCTGACCTTGGAGCCCTTGATGCAGAGCAAGCCTTTGATGAAGGCATGGCCTAAGTTGGAAGCTGAAGGGCGGCACTGTCCCCACAGGCGGTGAAGAAGGCACTTCGTGGGGCCCTGGCTGCGGAATGTGGCCTGGGTGTTGGCACGGAGCATGCACCCCAGCTGGCAATTGTTTGGCTCCTGGCTTGACTTTAGATGATCTCACTCTTGCCTTTCTCACAAGCATTTGCGTTGAATCCGCACTAATGATAGCTCGCCAGGGGTAAAACACTGTCATCCATGATGAAGGTCCCCTTGCTTGGCTTGCTTACTTCAGGTCGGTGAATTGTAGCCATCATGCGCTCACTGCATGTCGCCACTGAGGTAGCTGTTAGCCTCTCTGAGGGTTCTGTTGTCGTGGATGCCAACGTTTGGCCTCCAACTAGCACATCATGCGCCTTTGTCAAGGACTCGTCGTAAACCAGTATCCGCACGGGCTTTGCGCCTTGCCAGGACAAGCTGAAAGCCTCTTCCACGCTGGTCATTACTATACAGACATGGGTTAATGATGTGCCTGGCCTCGACAAAGTTGCGAGCAACCAAGTCAAAGTTGCGCGGCAGCAGGCGTCATTGACTTTTATTGAGAGCTTAGACTGGCAACTGTTCTTCCCTAAGCGCAACACTCAATGTTGCAGGTTGAAGCCACATGTTTGCACTGCAGGTTTCAAAGAGCTCAGTAAGCGTGAGTGTTATTCGGCCTGACGAAGTCGAGCAAGAAGCCACTCGGAGACCTACAAGTGAAAATCTGATCTGCAATGCCCAGCGTGTCCAGCTTACGAGAATGACTACAGGAACAGGCGGGTCAGCCTGCAGATGTTGGCAGCCCACGCCAAGGCAACCTGACTCATTAGATCTTACTAGCCTTTGCAGCTTGAAGGGCTTGGTTAAGCTGGACAACTTGCTCGTTGGAGATTGCAACATGATGGCAGGTCAGCGCAGTGACAAGAAGGCCTTGTTTGCCAGTTCAGCCTCGCCTCGTCCAAATTACACGACCACAGTCGGCTTGCTTGTTGTTGAGGAGAAGCTTGCGATCACTGGGCAGCTGGCAGATGCAAAGAGCCTGTTGGAGAAGGCGATGCCGTCAAGCCGCAGATGTTGCTCTTTCCACGCCATGTGATTTTTGGTGGCAAGCATATAGCTGCAAACCTGACTGCAGACGGATTTAGGACTGTTGAGTCAGCAAGCATCGAAGGGCGATCGCCCCTGCGCCGCCGATGATGCATCATTAGCATGTAGCAGTTGTGGGCCTTTCGTTGACCATGGCTGTGCCAAGTCCCATCAGGAACACCCTAGAAAGGACAACGGGGCCCAATTCATCAAAATCGGCTCTAGCGCATTCGATCTGCAACAGATATGATGCCGAACAAGACGCTTGTTGAGTTTTGAGGGAGGTTCAAACGCCTAGTCGTTCTGACTAGAAGCAAAACACAGTACTAGAAGCAGGGGAAGCTGCAGCGGGCAGTTCCCAATTTCAAACCGTGGCCTTCATACTTTGCAATATGTGTTTTGCCTGGGCGGGAGGTTTTCGATATGGGAAGGGATTGTGTAACAAACCACGTAAATAGACATGTTGTAGCCATGCACCGTCCCTTGCAACACGTGGGTGCCACAATTGCGTGTTTATGTATGTATACAAAAATATATGTATATGCGTGAATCTCTGTGTGTGTGATCACCTTGCCTGTCATTTCAGTGTGTCTCGCAACCCTGCCCGTTTGAAACGTCAAACAGTAGGTGTTGCCAGCTGCTGGGCTGGTGAAAGTACTCCCTTGTCCTCCCTCGTTTGTTTGCAGCCAAGTTTGCCATAGATTTGCGCCAGGCCAGCGCACACCCACTTTTAAGTTCAACTTGCCCTCACCGATTTTTAGCCACTGTTACACTGTTGTGTTTGGATTTGCGCCGGGCCGGCGCTAATACACTAGATATTCTTGCCTGACTGGCACCAAATGTGTAGTAGATTTGTGCCGGGCCAGCGTAAATGCACCTGATGTTCTTGCCTAACGTTACCGCCCGGCCGCAAACAAGCCAATGTTTCTGTACTAGTTTTGCATGCAGTTTCAATTTGTGCTTGGCTTTGTGCATCAAGCTTACCTGCTTTCAGCCAAGCCTCACCAGGCCGCACAGATGCACCCTGAAGGGACCTGGTGTCTTCAAACCATGCTTTCTCCGTGCCCCTTTCGTGGGCTTTCCATCCGCGATTCCGAATTCGCTAAAAAGTGCTCTTCCTTTTTGTCACTATTTCGGACCACACAAAATCGAGAATCTTCACAGGAGACGGTTGCACTTTCCGCGGAAATCCTCGCGCAACATATTTGCTTTGCATGAACGGTGCCAAATGGATCCGAACGGTTCCAAATGCTTCTTTCAGTGTCAGGGGCGATGCGTCCAGCCCACGCCAGCGATTGCTTCATTCGTTTCGTTTTTGCACAGCACCTGGCAAAAGCCATCACTTTGGAATCTGCGAGCCGTGAGCCTGCTTCACCCTGAGCAAGGTTGCAAAGTGGTCGTGTCCGTCGGCTCAAGCCTCCCCCACTCCTGCCGCAATTTGCGCTCGCAATCCTGCCAAGCTATCCTTGACAATCGTGCTTTGGACCTCCAGGCAGGCGCTACCACTGCGACTTCCTGTGCAAAACTCAATTTGCAAAATTGTCCAGACGACGAAACCTGACATGCCAGAAACCTCGCTGTTTTCTTGAGTTATCTCCAACCAATCTGGTTTCTCTAGCGGCACACGCGGAGAAGAAAACAAGTGTCTATATAATCCGATCGCTTGCCTGTTTTCTTTCCATGGCAGCTTTCTGTGCCACTGATGGTGGAGAGAACGCAATACAATCAGACAACACACACAAATACTCAAGCATCTGAAAAGCCGTTCTGCTCCGTGGCAAGTCGCGGGTGCGCATAGGCCTGTCTTGGTGCAGAATCGTTGTGAACCGTTCTGAACCGTTCTTAGCCCTTTCTAGACACGGAACCGTTGTGACCGCACCCACTACACCTACCGTGCGCCCCATTACGCGGTTGCACCAGTAGCCTAGCCCCCGAGCCACGTTTGAAGGCGTCGCGCCGCGCAGTCTGAAGCGAGGCTCGCACGATGTGACCCGCTGTGGTGTTTCCAGCAGCTACATGTGCGTCGCAGGCGAAAAACATTGTAAACGTGTGTGGGTTTATCAACGGTTGCACATGCGTCGCGCGCGAAAAACCTTGTAAACATGACAGTTTAAGTCAGTGTGGGCACGACATTGGAAACAGCGAGTCCCCTTCCGAGAAATTCAGTTCTTTCGCCGCCAAGAGGTTTTAAACAGGTTTTAAGGCAAATTCGCCGAACAGTGCTGGACGAGTGGCTGGAGAACTCGCGCGCCCTACTCGCGTGTTGTTCACTCGAACGGAGAAGTTGTTTCTGAGTGTTCGGTTGATTCGTCCGCGCACCTGCGCAGCCCCCTCGCACACTCGCACGCTACCCGCACACTCTCACCTCTTGGATCCAGCTAAAGTGTTCTCATCAGAGCGCACTGTTGGATTTGACTTTTTCTTCGTCAGCAGCGGTGGCGCTGAGAGTCTCATTTGGTTTTTTTTTGCGGGCCCCCCGTCCTGCTCACGCAACTGAAAAGGCTTGCTTGACAGGGCGCTTGTTCTCGGCTGGCTTGGCTCAGACCCCGTCTGTTTCGCACACTCAAAATGCCCTGCTGCATCTCTTGCGCAGGGCGGGGCCTCCCCCCTATGTGGGGTACAGGAGTGGCACCGACGCAACGGCCTCTTGAACTCCCAATGTTTCCGGAACGAGTTTGTGTTGCGTTGTTGCTCGCGCGGGGATGAGATTGGGTTGTGGCTCTGTCCAGTTGACCTTGGCTGACCTCCGTTGGCAGAGGTGAGTTTGGTGTCCGCTGGAAAGTATTCCAAGGAATGAGGTTCTTTGGAGAATTGCATGCCAATCGCTGGATTGCGTGCCCGCTTCCCAAAGGCCTGACGCGTCCATTGGCAAGGGCTGCGCAGGTTGGATTCTGCTGTGGGCTGATTTCCGGCACCATGAGTTTTGAGGCCAGTAGGTTTTGTTGTTGTCGCTGAAAGGTTCCTTGCGTAAGTTGTGCCATCGTGGGTCAAGTCCTTCTCGGCGCGGAAATGTGAATCGGCAGACAAGCGTCAGTGCCAGCCGTGTGCTGTTTCTTCTCTCGTGCCACGACGAATCCCGTACTATGTTCCCTGTCAAATCCGCGTATGAAGGTGGTGAAGATGAGAGTTCAGCTGGCAGGAGGCTACCCTGGCTCTGCTTTGGCGGCAAATGCTTTTGACTGTCCTTTGTCCTTCTCCTTTCCACCTTTCCTGCGTGCATACGATGACTTTCCTTTGAAGTTCTCACAGGAGTGATTGCGCTTGTTCCTCCCATTCTTTCCATCGACCTTTCTGATCGTAGGGCTCCGTGTTGACATTGTCATTGGCCATGTTGGCCTTCCCGCTTGAAGGGTCGAAGTCCACCTCGTCGGCGATCGCCTTTTTTTTTAAATAGAAATCTTTTGATCTTCAATTTGTTCTTCCTATCTTCATGCTTCGCCCGGGCGGCAAACGCATCGCGATCTTCGGTTCGCTCGTCGTCCTTTGTTCCCATGATCCTTCATTGCCAGCTGCATCTTCTACCCAGCACTTCTGCATATTCTCCAGGTTCCAGAACAGAGAACGCATCCTACTTCAGTCTGTTACCACCACATGATTGAAGGAAATGACACATTGTCTTCACCATCTCGAACCTGCAATTCATTCTCGTTCCTCACTGTCATTTTGGTCCGTGAGCTCGCTTTGGCTGATAGAGTGTCGTCGTGCCATTCTGTCGACGTACACCCCAGGTCCAGCAGATTGCTGAGCCTGTTCACTTGTGTTGAGTTCCTGTGCTGCTTGAAGGAACCGTTGCGATTGTGCTGCTTCCTCTGGCGTCAAATCATTCCGCGCTGCGTTGAGCCATCTGAGCTTCTTCGGACAAACCTGCTCCGCTACCACAATTGTGGCAGACTCAGGCCTGAGCCACTGAGGCACAATGTCTGTGCTGCCAGGCAGGGGGCGCAGACCAATACATCGGCAGGCAGTGACACCCGCCCCCCACCCACACACTACAGGGTAAGTGCTGTAAGTCGTCCCGGGTTGATCTAAGTCGTCCCGGGCGAGTGTGCCCGTTGTGTTTGTGGATGTAAGGATAGTTGTCTCAAGCATGTCATTTTCTGAAATCGCATAATTCTGTGCTGTGCGCATGCAAAATGTATGATGTTCTACTCGAGGTATCCTGACAGAAAGGTGCCCATGAGATCCCAGATTCATAACATCAACATTTGGTCGGCTTCCATGTGCCGTGTGCATGCGTGTATGTTCACTGCCACTGGGTGGTTCTCTCTTCTCGTGCCGCAGCACTTGAAGTTGTGCCACAAGCGGAAGCAATCTTCATTGGGATGAGTCGCGCGGCACTCGCGCAGAGTCGCGCGGCACTCGCGCCGGCAGCCCTTTTGTCGGGTGTTCCGGCCCGGAACCGGTTGTTTTTTACTAGCCCTGGCTTGGCTTAGCCCTGGCCGGGGGCTGGCTGGTTGGTCCGGTTACTTGGTGTCAGGAATGCTTTTGAACGCTTTGGCCTTGGGGGAACCAACAGAAAACACTATTTATGTTTGAAGGATAGCAACCCTTTAATTGCAGTGTGCCCAATAGGGTTTTGCCCGGGAAAAGCATTCAACATGAACCCAAGCCAGTGAGTTTTGAGCATGTGCGTGCAGTGTGCGGTGAATTCTTGGGGTTGGCAACATCGCCCTTCCAGTTCTGTGCCCATTGCGTTTTGCAAAAAATGGGGTGACTTAAAACGCACGGGGTGGCTTAAACGGATATGCGTAGTTCCAAGCGGCTGGGGATGGCTGGGGTGACTTAACGCGACGTGGGGTGACTTACGACGCCCGCTTGTAAGAGCGCTAAATTCAGTGTCGCGAAGGCGTGGCAGCTCGCAGACAGCCATTCAGCTTGGCAAGACGAAGGGTTGGCATGGTGTTGGACATCCACGATTCGTGTGGGCAGCGCTCTCAAGCCTAATATCAGGTATTGCGAGCCTAAGATAAAGTTGCCAATGCTCGGTGATTTGCATTTTCCTTCAGCAAAGTTTTACCGCGCTGTTTGCTTTGTTTGCTGAGGCAGTGTTTTTCCACCCAAACCATAGCAGGGGAGTTTAGGCCAAATGTTTTTGTGAAAGGGTTAGACCAAATTGTTCTCTCCAATTTTTGATTGTCTCTCAATGATCTTCCCCTCCCCCCGGCTGCTTGACCAAAACCACTCGCCCCCGCTTCGCCCAACAGCAAGCCCTGCGATCCTGCGCCTGGCCGTTTTCCACGAGTTGGTAGGCAATCAGTGCGCGACTCCCGACGCGCTTCCTCTTCATTGTTGCAAGATGGCCTCATGAATCCTTCACAACAAAGGCTCTGCAATGACAGCGGCAGCAGCGGCTGCTTGATTGTGTCCTTCGAGGGTTCTTGGGCCAAACTCTTTTCCATCGTGCCCTTTGCCTCCTGACCTATGCGGGTGGGTTAGTACATGGGTTAAGCGTTGTGCAAAGTGCGCGCTCCATTGGAATATGGACGGCTGTGATGCATCAACATGTGCAACTAAGGGTGCCCAAAGTTTTGGTGCGGATTTCGGGTGTCAAGGTGGTCGTGGGGCCCTATTTGATTCTATTGAGTTTGATTTGAAGCTGCTGCCCGTTGGAGGAGAGGGAGCAAATACTGAGCCAGTGCAAGGTGCTGCAGGACCTCTTGTTTGCATGACTTTCAATGGCAGATTGTCCTGATGCTTTGGCGAACAGCTTTGCACTCAGTTTCAATTGCCTCGTCAGCTTCAGGACTGCTTGCAAGAAGCCGAGCGTGATGCCGTGACCTTGCACCCCTTCAGAAGTCAAAGCTATTTGATAGTCCACTCCGGAAAGGCCTAGACATTGCTTTGCCGCATCCAAGGAGGTCCGAATTGGAGCAAATCAAGCTACGAGCCTTGAATTCAATGGATTTTACACGGTAACCTGCGGAATCACCCGGAGTATGCCGCGCAGACAAGGATCCCTGGCCCCAGAGGCGATTACTGCCAGAGTCGTGCACCGCTGGTCACAGCCACCTGGTCGCAAACTGACTAAGTCCCGTTCATGATCGCAGTTGCTTCTCCACGCGCTGCTCGTTCTGGCTAAGTCTAGTGGCGATCCTCCACTGGAGTCCAGTGGATTGGTTATCGCGGCTGAGAATGGTCGTGGCAGGGGCAGCTTTGCAGTCCATCCACTTTGACGAGGAGGCAAACGAAATAGTTCCTTACGCTGGCACATTCCGTGCAGCATTCGGTGCAGGTGTATGTCAGAGACGCAATGCTACGTGTTTTTTGGCTGCAAATGTAAGGCAAACACAGCACATCGATCAGCTCATCGGTCAGCTCAAATTCTTTGGCGATGGGGTCGTGCATCAGCCCTTTTGCTCCATCGTCAAGTGATTGTGCCTTGGCGCTTGCGGATTGTTCTGGATTTTGGTGATCGAATTTAGCAATGTTCCCAGTTGCGCTTTAGGTAGCTCATCGCGATGCTATTTTTGGAAGCAGCTCGTTTTGCCGGGCATTGGTATCTTGGGCAAGGTGCCTGCGGCATGTCTGCGTTGAAACAAAGGCATAGTGCTGCACTTGCGACGATTGGGCGCAGATGCCCATGCCGAGGATTGTTGCAGTGCTGGGCAGAAGCCATGCCGAGAGTTCAGCGTGGATAGTTCAGGCATGGGCACGGCTCGTGTCCATGCACCACGGCCAAATTTTTCCAGAGCTAGCGGATGTTTTGATGTTCTCGACTTCCCTTGGCGTTGGTCAACGTCAGAAAGCATCATGTCATATATCCATCTCTTTACACATGTACATGTATATGTTTACATACGTATATTCATTGCGTGCGCACATGTATACATATCACACAGGCCGTGCACAGTATGGCACAGTGGGGCTATGAGTGGGTGCTCGAAGTTAGAGATGCAATGTCACGTGTTTGTCAAGTGATTTGCAGCATGCAACAAGCCGCGTTTTGCCAATTTACCAAGGTTGGACTTGGTCGACGTCAGGCGGGGCGCATAGCCGCGAGCTATGCTCGGTCTCGCTGACCTGGCAAGCCCCTGGAAGGAACAAGCGCTGTGGGCACGAGGTGGACGAGACGTTGCGCAATTGGCCCCGATTGGCCCATTTGCTGATAGTGTCGCATCAGACAAGCTGCTGGAGACTGGTTCTGAGTAGGTCTGCCAAGCTCTCGACGGCTCCTTGATTGAACTCGTGACAGCTTGATTGTTTCCCAGTGGAAGAGTGGATTTTAGGGTCTTTAGCAATGTGCCCAGGTTTTGAATCGATGGAATCGCCTGGGGCACAATGCGTGTGGGCGCATGCTGCAAGATCAGGATAAGGCAGCGCAGGGTCAGCTTATGTGGAGGGGAGCTCTCAGGTGGCTGGTCTTTGTCACACGCAGTCTTTGGCAGCACGCTTGGAGCGAGCGCGTCTCAGCATTGGCCGGCGTCAATGCTGCGCAGCAACAGCGCCAAGCCAAGCCAAGCCCACCTTCAGAGACTGCCAGACCAGAAGTAGGCCGCACCACTGTTCACTGGCTTCGATTCGTAGCAGGCACTTCGGAGTGGCCGCCGAAGGGTCTTTTCCTCGAGGTCAAGCTCCTCATCCAAGAACGGCACAAGAAAGCCCAGGCCAAGAAGGTCACAAAACTGCAAGGAATGATGCGCAGGCATGCTGCTCAGACGTTATCGGCACATCAGCTTCTCTTTCACGAGTCCCAGGCAACCCTGAGGCATTGCAACAGATTCCAAAACCAGATGCTGGTTCCTGTGGGTTTGGAGGAGCAGTGTGAGCAAGCCATGGCCAAATGTCAGGGACTCTTCCGCCTGGACGAACTTGATTCGCAGCGATAGCGGATCTCTATTTGGCACCAGCTACCGGATTTTCCAGCTGAAAACACTGGCAAAAGTCAGATTTAACTGGTGCCTGTAACATTCTTCTGTCTCTTGCAGCCAAGCTGTACAGCATGCTGGGACGTGCAGGGTCTTTTGGTTGATTTAATCAGCTTCATCTTTGCATATCTCTAATGAGCACGGAGCCAAAGATGCGTGTCTTCACGTTCAACATGTCCTAATCCTGCCTGACCAAATGATGGAACAGTCGCTGATGCGAGGTGCCCGTGGTGCAGGTGCGGGCCATGTGCAGCTCACATCGCTGCACATGCAGGCATTGAGTTCCATTCGGCCAGGTGGATGCGCACAATATTGTTCCAGTGTGGGCAGCGAGCGCGCCTTACAGTAGCATTTCTGCACGAGTGCTGATGGCCGCCCAGAACACGGGCGGTGCTGGAGAGAAGTCTGTATCCAGGTCAGACAAGCAGGAGACCGCAGCCTGGAGCCAAGCATTGAGAGTGCAGTAAGGTGTTCCGCTTTCGTGTTAGGCTCGCACCATCCGGAAGAAGATCACGCTGTCGCCATGCCCTTGGATCAAGGTGTATGATCACTTGCCCTTCTTGTTCAGTGCCTTGCCATGCACATTATTTTTGCAGAGCCTTGGCCGCTCTTCTGTTGGCTGTGGCCATGTCCGTGCAGTGACTTGTTCCCTGCCCCTGCCGATGCCGCTGCCTGCCCCGCGGCTTGCTTCCGTATCGGTGAGAAACACAACTCCAATTGCCTTTTCGTGCCCTGTGCATTGTTATGCATTAGGCAGGGGCAGAGGCGTGTGGGCCGCCTGCCTACCCGCCGCAACCTGTCTGCTTAAGGCTGTCCACCTACCTGACCGATTTTCCATCAGTTCTCCGACACCCGCATTCTTCGCCCAAGGACATGACATGCAGAAAGTGATTCGCAAGCATGCCCCGCGACGAGGATGAATTGCCAGAGCCCATTGATTGGGAAGCTGCAGAGAGGTCATTAGAGGCGCCATCCTTTGAATCTGCGTCCTCATGCCCGGTTGAGCACCAGGTGGACTGGTCTGTGAAGCCAGTGACTGGTTTCCAGCGACATCCTCAGCCAGCGCAGCAAATGGTCCATGTACTGAACTGCAAGGCCAGGCGCAAAGGCAGGACTTGGCGCGCTGGAAGAGTTTACCACTCGTTTATCTAGGCTGGAAGTGCTGAAGTGAAGTGGCTCTTTTGGACATGTTGGCTGTTGCGTTGCATCAGGTATGCAGCCAAGCGGAACGATCCCAACGTCGAAGCCTATGCATCTCCCAGTGTGACTTGCTAGCTGGATTCCGGACACAATGCCTGAGCACGCCATTGTGATGCCTCAGATCGTGAATGTTCAGGTGGATGCCTTGTCCGGCTTGTCCCCATGGCTGCACTTTGGCACCTTGTCGAGTTGGAATGCGCTGTTTTGTCGGTTGTCATCTCTTGCTGGAATACCCCACAGCTTTTCTACTCGGAATTAACAGCATGTCCTGCATGCCCTGCATGTCCCACGGGTCCAAGGGCAAATCTCTGCGCAGAGATGTGATGGGACCTCAGGGCGAATGCAAGCCTCCCCTTCGTCCCCATCCCCTCTTGGTGCGTCCGAGGCTTTGCGTGTCCGCTCGGCAGGGGAGGCCAAAGGTGTCTCCTCAGACGTGCAGAAGGGCTGTCCAAAGCTGAGCTTTGATGTGAAGGCCGGCTGAGCAACTGTGCATGCTGCAGGTGAGGCCTTCATAGAAGAGAGCGTCGTGCGTAGAGAATTGCCGCACCCAAAGCTACCCAAGATCAAACCACACATTATCATGAAATGCCATGCCTTTTCAGACATCTTCAGGTCAGACAACTTTTGTTTCTACAACGTACTTCTCTCAGAATGTGATTTGTGCCGGTGGTTAATCGCAGCCTTGATGCGGTCGCTACGTGGCTCCAGGAGAATTATGATTGCTTGGAGGGAGCGGCAAACTGGGCCCGGCAGACGCTAAAGGAGCACTTGGCATGCTGCCCTAGCACCAGGAAGGGTCGGAAGAGCTTGTTTCCTGCCTCGGGGAGGACCATGAAAAGGATAAGCGAGAGTACCTTTACTCCATAGAGGTGCATGGCAAACACATCGGGTGGCCTGCAAAGCATGACTGAAAGGATTTGGAGACGGGCAAGACCCATGACGAGACTCGACGTAAAATAAAGGAGCCAGGCTTGCAACGATTCAACTCCCATGACTCAAAGGACTTGTGGAATGCAGCCCAGCTCCAGATGGTAAGGGAGGCTGGGCTGCTGGATGTGTTGCCTTGTAAGGAGACAATGTATTTGTCATTCACACGGCATCAATGCTTTGCCAGCCCCTACCTTGGCGCACCATGAAGTATAGCCGTTCGAGCTCAAACCATCAGCAGGCAGATTGCGGCAGAATTGAGGGCCGGTTGCATCAAGGGGCAAAGTCCGAGAGAGCGTGGCAGCCCATACCAGCCAAAGTGCAGCTCCAAGTCTCCAAGATCCAATGCTGAGCCACCGAAGTCCCACAGGCTTTGACCCCTTGCGTGCATGTCTGTGTGCCTGTGCGCCCGCACGTTGTGAGAAGCCTAGTTGTTTTTCTTCTTTTTTTTCCAAAGGGGCTGTGCCCAGATAGGGATAGGCTCTGGAGTGGCTCGGAGCGGAGGGCTAGGGTTTCGGAAGGGTTCCGTGTTTCTGTTCGGGACGCCACCTGGGCTTCTGGGCTTATGTTGGAGCATTGCCGCAGTAGCAGATGGCAACCTCTTGCACCGTTCATTGATTCTTTAAGCAATCAAAGCGCAGTCCAGCCTCAATTGTGCCCAGGTTGTTACGGCTGTTTGACTGGAGGCCGCCGTGCGCTGCAGTCCACCAAACATGCGTTTGCCAAGCATTCAGGCATGAGTTGTTCAACAGAACTGAAGCAAGATGCTGGTGACATGGAGTTCGAGTAGTCTGGCTCAAGTCACACCCCGAGCCTCAGCTGTGCCGCGCTGCACAGCGCCGTGGCGTTACTTGGCACGCATGTTGAATGTGGGGAGTGCATGGGCACTCACATCGGCTGGGAGTGAATGCGAAGCTCAGGTGGTTCCTGGACTTGGCTGAGCAGGCCTGCAGGAATGGAAGACTGGGATATAGAGCCGGTCTCAGACAGGCTGATATGGGATTGTTGTGCATGGTGCGGCATATGTCGGAGCCTGGCTTTAAGGATACGATCAATCAATATTGCCGTGAGCACTTCCACGGAGACTTTGAGTGCACGCTTGCAGATGGCAAGGGCAGGACCATCACTGGCTGAACCTTGCCGAGAACGAGTGAAGTGACGTGTGATGGTCTGTGCTTTCGCAGGATCATGATTGCCAAAAAGGCAATCCCCCAAGGTGAGATCCTCTTCCAGGTCTGGCTTTTCAGTGCAAGCGCTGCAAGCACCAAGCTCGCCTCAGGAGCCACCCCTGCACATTGTCGCTGAAGAAGCTACGAACGAGGCATGGCCATGCTTGTTGTGCTTGGTGAGGTTTGGCGCATGGCGTGGCCCGAAAGGCATTCAAGCTGGTTCAAAGGCTTTGCAAGGCAGTCACTTGGAAGCAAGCCCTTCAGCCCGACAAGCAAGAGAGTGATATGGCTAAGGAGCCCAGCGTTTTCGACTATGAGCCATTGTGGTACTGGACAGCCTTGTGCTCCTTAACGGAGGCGAGGTCCAAAGTCAGAGAGCACCTCTGTGTACGATGTTTTGCTGGCAGAGGAGCAGCTTCGGCCAAAGCCGAAGGTGGGCTACCTTAATCCAATCTCTGCACTGCAGCGCCTCCGAAGCACTGAGCTAGCTCGTGTGAGCAACCTGAGACTGGGCCGAGAGCGACCCTCCGAGAGAGAGAGAGAGAGAGCGAGTGAGAGAGAGAGAAAGAGCGTGCTGCGGAGATTCGGAGACAGTCTGGCACCAGGCAGAAGCGGTTGCTGTGCCTGTTCCACGAGCCGGTGGAGGAGGTGCATGTTTCACACTTGAGCTCGCAATCCTTCTGTAATTTGCACGCTTTTGCGAGTTTGAAGCTGGTTGCAGTTGTGCAAGGCTTCCGAGGCCGTGAAGAAGCTAGTGAAGCAGCTGGGCCTCTCAGTCCCCGCTGTGACTGTGGAGGAGCTGCTGCAGGCTGGATGCTCACTGCGCACGAGCGTGCCAGTATGCCATCGCCATAGAAGCTCAGTGTTTGGCAAGGCTTGGATTCTGAATTGCGCCTGGGCTGGTACATGGTGTAAATGGGGTAGCGTTGAGCCCAACTGTGAACTCTAGGCTTCGAGCACTCAGAGGACCCACTAGGCTACTCAGCCTATTTTGCCTCGTCCTTCGTGTCGCACTCTTGCGGGGCGAGCCTTCGAATGCAAATCAGCTCTTGTCATGGCCTGTGTGCGTGTCAGTGCAGGCTTTGCTTGCTTTTGAATCGCTTGCAAGTCAGGAACGGCATATGGAGCGAGGGCGATGATGGCCTTCACATTCTGCGGGACACGCCGGCATGGATTGGAAGTGTGCAGGGCTGACACTGGCCAATGAGCACACACACTCGGAAGGCGCGACGCGACATCTCTCCGGGCAATGAGGCTGGAAAGGGCAAACATAGCAAACCGGTCAGCCCAGTCAGCCTCCAGCAAGCCCAACAGTTGGCCAGGTGTGCATCTCCTACCTTCCCGAGGATGTGCTACTGCATTCTGCAGAGGAGCGAAAGAAGCCACTAACTAAGCTTATGGCTGTCCTACAGCCACTGACGGAAAGTGCAGGCTTCTTTTATTTGGTTTGCGCATCCTGGTTGCTTGAAATTCCACGTAGTGGCCCTCAGTAACACATGTTGTTTCCTGGACATAGGGCTAAGTCAACCCATTCGGAAAACAAAAGACAAAGCCAACGAACAAGATGTGAATGGCAACAGTCCCAACAACGAACGCCAAATGAATCAAATGAGGAAGCATGGCGGCACAGCATAAAGATTGACATGCACAACATTAACATCAATAGCACACAAAACATACTGCAAAGTGGAAGCAACTGCGCGGGCAGAACAATGCTGTGCAAACTTTGGACCGGTACCTTCATGTTTATAACGTGGTATGCTTGTGTATGTTGTTGTCATTCTGTTTCATCTTCTTGCCGGGTCTAGTTCATTTTGGGATGTAGGGCCCGATGTTATTTCCGCATGTTTTCATTATGCCTTTCGTTCATCAAGTTCGTTGGTTGAGCGGTTGGCATCATTAATGTCTTCACCATTCACTGTTGGCTTCCTGTTTGGCCATGCTTTGATCACCGTTTGTTTGGTTTGCCGAGTGAGTAGCCGTCGGAAGTCAGAGGGATTTTGCCCTCCCACCCTGCATAGTGACTACGAGTATCGGAGCACCAAGCGCAGCTGAATCTTCGGAAGCGAGCATCGGTGGGCAGCACTGTTGCTTGTGCCTGGGTTGTATACTAAACTGAGTGTTCCGAAATTGCGATGAGCCTGTCTACTGTACTGGTGCTTTTGCTGCCCCATTGGGCTGCATTCTCCGTGTTTTGTTTTGCCACAACAGGTCGTTCTAGTTTTGCAGAGCTTCAGTGACAGAACCGCGGAAGTTGTGCTAATCAGCACGTTGCAGCTGGAGCTGACAGTCGACGTGAGGTCATTGAAGAGCACCAAGCAGTTTGACTGCACGTGCGAGCGGTGCGCGCCGATGCCACCTGATAAGGAGCCTTTGCTGAGTTGGCCGCTGCCACTGCTTCTTGCGCAGTGCTGTGCTTCCTGCATACGTTCGCGACCTGACGAGGTAGGTTCTGATCCTTGCCGTGGCTTCCGATGTCCGAAGTGTGGAGTGTGCGGAGCTGCATGCTCAGCCAGTTGGCATTGAAAGCGAGTGCCTGCAGAGAGAATCTCATTGAGGTTTTTCACCAATTAGAGCCGCCCCCTGAGATGAGACGAATCGTGCTTGTTGAACTGTCACACGCGTAGCCGTCCGTTCAGGTTTGATGAGGGGCAAGGCTTGCAAGGTGCAGCTTGCACGAAATGCTCAGCGGAGGCAAGCTCTCCTTTGCCAACCAATGTTTGTGGTGGCGCTTGGCAGGTGACGTCGGCCGATGCCAAGAAGATGCTTGAGGAAGAGGAGGGCTTGGAGGAGCCCCGGTGATGCAATGCCGTCCATATGACGCATATTCCATGAAGTTATGTTTGAGCATTTTGCCGCCAACTTCGCCCAGGCAGAAGTGAGAAAGCTGGACACTGCCTGTGAAGAGCGGCGTGGAATCCACAAGGTTTGCTGACGCATTATTGTGGTCATTGGAAACTGCCCTCAGCGCGGAGGTGCTAAAAGAAAAGGAAGCGGCCAGGCTTCTGAACATGGTGTCGCACGAGTCCGAGGCTTCAAGCTATTTTCTTGGATTTGCATCATGAAGACTGCATCACGCATGCCACAGTGTTTGCAACATTGGCATTTTGCGCATGTGCCCCATGTCCTTAACAGCTAGCTGATGTTTGCCGGGGTCGCCCTTTGCTGGGCTGTTGCCATAGCGAATTGATTGGCAGGGAGGAGTTGGATTAGTTGGACCTCAGCACTGGCTTTGCGATAGACTCTGGGAGCACTTGGAAAACTGGAGCAAGCAGGCAGGCTCGGAACGAGTGGAGACGGGATGTGAGCCTGTCCCTGCAGGCTGGAAGGTGGCAGGAAGAAATGAGATTCATGGATCTGAGAACTGCGTACCAGCGCAAGGTGCGCAATGAAGACATGCAAAGCACTGATGTTGGCATGATGTTGGGTTAGGCTCTGCATGAGCCGGCAGGCTTACTTTCCTGGTCCCAGTGGCACGCTGGCGTGGACATTGGAGCATCAGGCACGACTGACCACACTGCACATTGTGCTGGACTGGGTGGCAACAGGCGGATCGAATTCTGGAGATGCTGGGGCATGGGCCAAAGTCCAAGGAGGCGAGGGTGGAAGCTACCTGCACGAGCTTGGCCACAGTGCAGGGCCAGTCGCACAGAGCGTGACATGCTAGCGTGACTCGTCCAGTGCTAGCCATGTTGGCAAAGAGCAAGTTGGCGGAGCGCATTCAACCTACAAGTCTGATTCAGCTGTTTCGCTGGGCCGACTGCCCGCTTCCCCCCAAGAAAGACAGAAAAAGAACAGACAACATCAAGTGGACCTTTTTTTTTGCGATTCTATGATTCTGTATATTTTTCAGAGTGCAGCTAGGCATGTGCATGGCGGGCTTCCCAGCCTCGTTGCTGTGATGGCGTGTGACCTTCCTTCACACACGGGGGCGGGGGCGGAGGTCCAGGCCAGCCAAGAAGTCAGACGCCAGATGGGATCCAGACTGGTGCCAATTTTGCAGGCCAGGCTCTCAGTGGACACTGGTCGGGAGAGTAGTCGTGACTTCACGGGAGCTTGGGTCAGACTTGTGAAGCGCTTACCCTGAAGCACACGCCGCACGGTCATGTTTTGAACCGGCTTGATGCTGGCCTGAGGAGTCGTCGAACATTCTCAGACTCATGTTTGGAGACAAACACGAGTACTACTTGGCAGCAGCAAACTCAGGGCCTCGTTGGCGATTGTCGCTTGGAAGGTTGAACTACTGTGATCGTCGTCCTTCAACAGCATATCTAGCTGAGGTGCAGAGCAAGATAGCCACCGCAAAGGCCTTTACGAAGCTTGGCCCTGTTTGCTCTTGGCATGCTTGTGTGGCAGGCCGGCGCTGTGTTGTTTGCTTTTGGTGTGTGTGTGTGGGTGTGATTCCCTCCCTCATTGTTGGAAACAACAAATGGGAAGCAGGGCACGTTTTTTGAATAAACTTTGCATCTTCCAGGAAGGGGCTGTGAGCTGCGAATGTTCCGTTCAGCCAAAGCCTGACAACTTATGTGTGCCCGATATTGTGCATATGTGCCCGAGTTTTGCAGATGGGTGCAACATGCACTCTGATGCATGGGAGCCTTGCTTGATAGTCGGGCATGCGTTGGGGGAAAAATGAGAGGGCCGACGACATACTTCTCATGGAATGCTGCAGTGCTCTTTCACAAAGTGTATTGCTTGATTTTTTCTTTTTGCCTGGAATATGCAGGCTCTGGCACACCGTGCCAGCGCGGCAGCAAGCATAGCTGGATGACCCAGAGAGTGGCCTGTCAGCAGTGAGAGCGAAGTCAGCATTGAGAGCAAGAGCTGCAGGTCAGCAAGGCCCCCGACGCAAGCAGACGAGCAGTTGGCAAACGCTATGCCTTTGCCAAGAAGTCTTTTGGCACCAGCCCGCTGGAGGATATCGACAGCCGTACGCTGCATCAGGGCATTAGCAATCTCGAGCGCGGTCTTCAAAGAGCAAATGGCGAGGCTGAAAGTATTTTCATTTATGCAAAGAAGTCCAAAGGTAAGTATTTGCTGATGCAGAGGCATGGGGAAGTTTGCAGCCACATCAGGGAATTGGAAGATGAGCTGCGGTGTTTTTATTCTGAGCGTTCGCGACGAAAGCAGATCAAGACCACAGTCATTGACGCCAAGCTCCAGAAGGAGCGTGAACGGTTGAAGGCAGCACCCACTCTTCCAACTGGGTTTGCGCAGCAGGATGAACTCATTTGCACAACCAGAGGCGACACCATGGTGAAGCCGCAGGTCAGCAAGGCAATCCCTGACTTTGTTGAGAAGAGTTTGCCCATTTTAGCCCCAGGGCGCAACCAGCATTGGTCAGATGCCAAGCAACTGGGCATATAAGTCACAAGCACAGGCGTGTGACAGGGAGAAAGAGGACATGAGCTGCCCTACCGCCCCACCAGTCCTACCAGCTGTCCCCACATCGAAGATGACTGGGCCAGCGGCTTAGTTCAGTGGGCTCCTTATCTGAGATTATCTCTTTGTGCTGCACGCTGCCTGCGCGCTGTCTGCACGCTGTACAGATCTCGTGGGCCCAAAGGGTTGCCACTTTGAGCCAAGTTGGTGCATGGTCGTGCTTCTTGCAGTCATCACTCTTGGTCTATACGTTCTGGCCCCATGCACTGCCTCCCTGCCACTGTGAGCCGTCTTCATTCTGGCAAGACGAGGAGGAACGCCTCTGTCAAAAGCCGTGGAACAGCGGCAATGCGTTTGTCGGCATCTGGCAGACCTTTTTTTTTCCTGGCGAAGCGGTCGATGCAGAGTGTTTGAGCTGGATTAGGGTTCATGTTGGTGCTGGTCATTCCTCATTGATATGCCTTTGGCCTGCACAGCAGAACGGCAAAGTTTTGGCTTGGCTGCCAGGGGAAGATGCATGGCTTCCTGCGCATGTATTGGGTCCCTTGCCTTAAAATTTGGGAAGGTTGCTACGGCTGGGGTGTGTCCAACGTCAGTAAAGCCAGTGTATGGGTTCGGGTGATGCTACAGGCCAAAAAGATTCTGGAGTGGTCGTTTGGGCCTCTGAGTTTTCGAAGGGGAGTTGGATGCATGTGGGTCGAGCCCAGGCCAAGTCCCAAAGAAGCTTTACAGCGATGCATTAGACTCAATGATCGCTATGAACTGGACGGCCAGTGTCCAAGCAAATGACGCTGTGACTTAAGACCGGTTCTTGCAGTACCAGGTCGCGATCCGAATGGGTATGTGGGCTGCATGTGGAGCGTGTGCGGCGTCGGCAGCCTCAGTCCAGCATTTCTTGCGGCTCAGAATATCTTCGTGCCACTCAGGTGCATGATATGGGCTGGAAGGAGCGCAAGGCTGCGTGCTTGTGCACAATATGTGCTTAAGCAGTTAAGCAGCTTGTGGAATGTGCACCAAGTTGTCAAGCGCCCAGCGATGAGTTGTATGTCGGGCACTTTGGGGAGGTGTTCGGCAAAATTCGCTTCATGAATTACGACGGGTGCAAGCCAAGAGCCTGGAATGATCGGGCATATTGCGGAGACTGTGGATATCCTCAAGAAAAGCAGGTGTTTGCCAGACATTTGGCTCAAACAGCTTCATGGCATATTTGCATGCATGGGATTGTTGTGAAATGGCTGATCGCCTATAGCTAGGATGGATAGTTGGTGTGACTTTCAGATAGGCATGGCCGAATGGCACAAATGACTACAGTTACAATGTTGCGCCTGGGCTGTGCACTGCCTGTATCGGCTCATGGTGCTCGCAGCTTTTCTCCATGCTTGTAGTGGAGGACAAGCACCATGATGAGGAGACAAGCGGCTGAAGGTATGTGACATACACGAGACTTGTTTTGCGCGAACACTCGCTGAAGGAGAGCGATTTCGCATCCGGGCTGCAATTGGCAACTGTGGCAACTGCGGCAACTGTGGCAACTGTGGCAACCATATCAAGCCTTGAGACTTGCCGCACTTGCCTTGGGAGGCAGGGGAGACTGAGCACAGCTTCAAGGATGGCACGGTGGTTCGAACTTTCGAGGCCGAAGCAGTTGAATGAAGAGACGCTGAGACGCACTTCGCGCACTTTCCAGGACTTCATGCAAAATGCCATAGGCGGTGTTGTCACCCGCGCTTCAAAGGAGCCGAGCCAACAAATGCTCCGTGTAGTGGTTGGAGGTTGTTTTTTGCTTCAGCTTATCCTGCCAGGATTTGGCAAGATGGGCTGTAGAGGCAGTTGATTTCGTTGGTTCAACGCGGAGAGCGTAGGAGAGCATTGCGTGCCATTGGATGTCCAGGCGCCGCTGGTTTGGAAAGATCGTCAGACAGTGGAGCTTGGCTCCGGCTGCGGCTTGGTCAGCAGCGCGCCTTGGCTACAACCTTGTGATGGAGTGGTGGAGTTGTTGAGTATCCAGAATGATCAAGAATGCTCCACGGATCAGAGGCGCTTCTGAAGATGGGCGCCCATGTGACCTCTACAGACTTGGAAGAGCTCCTGCCGCACTTGGAGTACAACCTCAGCCTGAATGCCGAAGGAAGCCTGATTCTGCATGGCAACCAGTGAATGGACATTTGAAGGGGAGAGAACTGCAACACCCGACATATCCGCGGTACGGAAGTGGTGTGGGGTGTTGCAACTATGAGTGGATACCTTTGAACAATAAGCCTCACCATACAGCCTGATCAACTGAATGCAGGGTACGGTGTGGGTCGATTTTTGGCTGGTGCTTTGTTTAACCCTCATTTGCAGGATGTGATGGCCTATGGCAAGTTCAAGCATTGGATTGGGACAGCCCTAGCGAAGCTTTGAGGCAGTTTGGGATGCTGTGCCTGGTTTGTCTGGGAAGCCTTCTTGTGGGGGATGCTTGCATAATTCAGGACCGGGCTGCTTTGAAATCCAAGCTCGGCAGTGCTGACGCCGTGTTTGCCGCAAATTGTGGCTCGTTTGATTCATCTCCAGCGTGCAGCTTGAGTGGAATGGAATGACCAGAGCCGCCGTGGATGATGTGAGGTGTCTACAGTCAAGACACTGTGGAGATGTTCCTGGCGACCTTGCAGGCCTGTACCGTTCTGGGTGGGCTGCGCGAAGGTTCATGGCTGCCTTTGCAAGCAGTTTCTTGATTGGCAAGCTACGAATGAGTAATCTAGCTGACTGATCCGACTTCTCCCTCAAAATGCCGGCCCTCCATGCGCACGGTTTGGCGGACTTTGGCGAGCTTCCAAGTTGCCTTTGCGGTGCGGTGCTTTTGCCTGTCCCCTTGTCGTTGCACGGTTGGCGACAAGCTACACCGCCTGAGAAGCTACTCTCCAAAAGTGCTGAAGGGCAGCGCATATGATTTCATTGCACCCTGCTACTTGTAAAATGTGTTGTTCAGGCTCGGGCTGCGCTGCAACGTGCTTCGAAGGGCTCAAACGTGTGCTGCTACGAAGCGAACACCTAGTGTCACAACATGACATTGCTGACAAGATTGCCTCGCCACCAAGTTTCGAACGTGAAATCTTTCGACAACAATACCCCTGCCAAACACGGCAGCAGCT